TTTTAATGTAATTAAGAGCATTTTTGACTTGTTACGTAGTACCTACATCATCATAATTTTATCGCTTACATCTTTCACCCAATCTGTACGCTGAGCAGTTCTGTTGATTTGTGTTTAATCTACTTTTTGGAACATCTTACAATTAGCCACTCACCATTTTCCCAAACAGGTCCATTTGTATTAATCATAATGTGATCAATTTTGATGCAAAAATCGTAGTAGCCACTCTTTTTGTACACACTAGAAGCTGTATATAGTTGTATATTTGTATCTGATCACACTGCATTACAGGAGAATGTTTTGTTTTTTAAATACCGTCTTTTCATTTTACGTTTTCCACGCAACTTTTCCTGATTCTCAAGGAACAAATTAGGAGGAAAGATTTTTAAACTTCGATGGCTCATATCTCATAATGAAATGCCTAAAGGATACTCACCCCATGAGTGAAAAACACTTGTCTTTTATAATTTTGGCCTTAATGCCTAGTCTGTAGTCTTAAGAAGAGAACTATCAATGATCATTTATTTTTTATTAAATGAAGGCACATTTACATCAAAGATTCCACAGCCAGGACAAATTGTTTACTTTCGTTCGTAAATCAGGAATGTACTGAAAAGATTCTGAAAAAAAAAAAAAATAATATTTCTTTGCGACGTTTTCACCCGAAAGTGTTATACTTATTACACTCAAGATTGGCTCACTTTTTTATATTTTTTTTATATATTTTCCTGCTGAAATAGTTCGTCTTCATGAAATGTCCCATAAGTTTAATTTTTCTTTATCATTCATGGTACCAGATTTCTTTCGAGAGTAAAATCCAAATTGATATATTTATGATGAAAATAATGAATGCTTTTGTAAGTATAAGCAATATCTCTACTCATTGATTTCGCCAGCCCTGTATAGTTACATCTTAAATGGTAATAGAAGTGTTATCAAATGGTACTCAGGGTCAACTCATCGCAAAGACTTTAAAATCGTCTTTCATTTTTCCTTTTCGTAAAGAAACTCAATCTCATTGCCGCTTGAAATCGTAATAAGTAGACCAATGAAAAGAAGAGGAAATTATAGGTGTNTATGAAAGAGGAAATTGGGCCGTTTTAATATCATTTCCTTTTAAATGATGAATCCAAACGGTACTGCCATCATATTTTTTGGGTGCCTGATTTTTATTTTTATTTTTGGTAATTAGTGACATTTTTTGGATTGGGCCGAAATTTTGTACAAAAATCATATTTTTGATTTTTCTCATTGCCGCTTGAAATCGTAATAAGTAGACCAATGAAAAGAAGAGGAAATTACGGTTGCTAATAATGTATGTTTATTCTGCAAAAAGATACCGAATACATTTTGGAAATTAGCACTGTCGCAAATTTAGATGAAAGATTTGCATCTGAATACTGCTCTATTGAGGCAAGTTTTTGCTAGTGGATTTGGTCGAAGTTTTTAACTTACCTCTGTTACAACAGAACAAAATTCCGTCAGGACGACGGTGCGCTAGAAACATTTGGTTTTCATGCTGGCAGCAACGACGACCATATCCAAAATTTCAAAATTTCAAAATTCCAAAAATTCAAAAAGTGGATGGATGCAAACGTCGGCCAAAATTCATGAAGCAGCTGAGTTTAGTTCTTGAGAGCATCAGAGCGTGTTTCTCCTTTTGGTGTGCTATACCCTGCGGATCTGGTTGAAAAATTCGACCATTCGCGAAAATGCGACCTTAGCCATCAATAGCTGAGACTGAGTCTCAGTGCAAAAAGTAGAGACAAGAGACCCTCCACCAGTATCTTGGCATTGGTGGAAGCTTTTACTTTCGGGACTTCATAATTCTATTGTTGACCTACCTGCATGGTGAATGGTTAAGAACGTGTCGGCAATTTCGTTTTGCAAACAAGCCGAAGTTTGGGGAACTTGTTTGGCTCATGACGTCACCCGAAGCTTATCATCTACCATGTAGGTAGGCCAACAGCCGGAATACGAGTGGTGACTGTTGCTCCCTCATAATTGTTCACAAGGAACTGTTGAGTCCTCGAAAGTAAAAGCTTTCACTTGCCGCCAAGAGGCCAGTGGAGTGTCTCTTGTCTCTGGCAAAAAGATACATTTTAACCCCTATATTTTCTCAAATCAAATATTGTCCCTTTATTTTCAATCGTTGACAGGGAAGAAGGTTCAATTAGTCAAGCTCAACCCACTTTTCATTCAATTTTCATTAAAACGTGGCTTTGATCCCAGTTGCCGAACCCAGTTCAATTTGAACCGTCTGCCAATTTACCGCCTTTTACTGCTGCTACCCGATCAGAGCTCTGATTTTCCTAAGTACGTAACCTACTTAAGTCAAAGTGACTCTGGGAGAACAAATTCATATACATTTTCCACAAATTAATACGATATGAAATTGTGAACTATATTATCTGAAAAATTGAAAGAAAAGTATTCATGAGTTTATCAGGGAATCTACGTAGGAATCGACACGAATCTCGACATTTTTTGCCCCGTCCAAAATTGAGAAAAATCAACAGGGGTACCATGGAATAACTATTGAGGGCCAAAATCGGAAGTTCACAGATTGAGCTGAAATTAAGTTATTTCCACTGAAAATGACTCGCTAAGTCCGATTTTTTGGTTCAAAAAGCTCAACGAGGCCGCTAGAGCGCGTCAGTGACGGAAAACGCGCATTCGGTGAAATTTCAAAAACTGTCGAAATCGCTCATTTTCGAGCTTTTCTTGGCTGAGGAAGCCGCGGGGAGACTCAAGACCATGCGCAATCGATTCTACGCCTTCGACTAAGACAGAAGACATGTATATTTGATCGTTTATTAAAAATTATATTAATGATAAATGTTCCCACGATGCGTGGAAATCAAATCATTTCCACGCAAGTTACATGGAAATAATTTGTCTTCCATGCGACTTTCATGGAAACCAATTGATTTCCATGCAAATGCGCATGATTGTGCGTACCTACACGACGCTGCATAGAGATACTAGGACTTAGTAAGTTTTTCAACTACGCTCTCTCTTTTTCTTCGTCATTTGATTTAATTTGCGAGGGAACTTCGTGCTTTTGAAAGATGCCATGAACCATGATACGGTGGGGTGCCTTTAATCTCTTGTAATACTTCGTAATACCTTCGTAATAATTAATAATATCATATCACCTTCAGGATGATGGATGACGAAAGAAAAAAGTATTGATGAGAAAAGGAACCTTAATGCCTAAAAATTCCAAATTGAGGAATTGAACCAACTTGAAGTTACAATGCATTCAAGTCCATCGTTCAAACAATGTAAAAATGACTTCAATTTCTCTATAGTCGCTATAGGTGTTGATCTCATCATCTCAAATTCTCAATTTCCGACCCAACTTCGGCAAAATTGGCTCTTCGAGAAAATGCTCCTCAGTGTTTTTAGGTCTTTATTACTAAGGATTGATACAATTTATAAATTCAATCCCAAATTAAAGTATTTCGCAACTGTATTAAAACATTTTCTTACTTAGCAATACTGTTTCCTTACTTAGCATAGATTTATACAATTTTGCTCGTTTTACAGGTAGTTCAGGTTGTTCTAGATTGACAGAGCCACACAACGAATGATCCTTATTCTGAGCGTGTGTCTCTTCATTCAACATCAACTTGCCACTGGATGACATCTACTTCCTGCTGCTATGAGCAAATCAAAGTGGATCTCAAAATTTCAAGTGGGCAGTTCTCACTTTTTAAATTCCGGGATTACACTGTGTGCGGACTACACTGGATTAATTCCGGTATTAATTAATTTATCTCTGAGAAAGGATCTGCGGGAGTCCTCTTCCCAACGTCATCACGAAAATCACTGCTCTAGTAGCTATGACCTTCAAATACTGTGAAAAATCTAAATTACAAGGGAAAACAAATTTTTAACCCCCCCTCCTTTCATCTCGATCTTTACCCTTTCAAACTGTTTATTAAGCACATCCAGTTCATAAATAGGTATCTAAATTTTGATATTCCCAGCACTTTTAACATCATTCATTCACTTAAGTTTTCTCGATGTATGCTCATCGTGGTCTACATATCGACGGTGTAAGTCGGCAATCACATAACTTGGTTTGCGACGTCACAGACTTCCTGTCATACTTTATTTTTTAAAAGGAAAACTACTCAACGACAATTCTTTAAAACTGCCGTGATTTTTCTTCTCTGTGCAAAGATAATTCTGCAAAAACTTCAAGGAATTATGTCAATTTGTTCTCTTTTAAAAAAATAACAAAGAGGCGGAGATTTTCAGACACCGCAAACGAGTTATGTGATTGCCTACTTACACCGTCGATATATTTAAAATAAAAATAGACAGGAAAAGGCGGGGCCGAGGCTGAAAAAACACACAATAATTATTACAAAACACGGGACTTGTAATAATGATTGTGTGTTTTTTCAGCCTCGTCCCCGCCTCTTCCTGTCTATTTTTATTCTATGTTCTCGGGCTGCCATAGTGTACCTTTATCTACATATTTAGACATCTATCATATTTTCTCAAATTGCATAGTGTCAAAATTTGAAGTTCTTGGACGGAACTAAAATCAAGCTAATCTCATGTTGAATTGCCCGCGGAGCTAGTTCTTATTATTTGAAAACGATGGCTGTGAGTCAAAACGAGAAAGAGTTGGCAGCCTCCGTAGAAAACCTACCTTGATAGATTCCAATGTCGGGGAAGGGTAGGTACCGAAAAACCCCCTCATGCATACTTCAAAAGTGACAACGGCATACTCACCAACGTACCTCTCCTTCAATATGATAATTATAAAAGTGATTTTTATTTCTTTCTTCATTATTAATATTTTTTCATCGCTTTGAATTCCATGCAAAATTGCACACTCTGATCGATATTTCATAGGTATAATGCTAATGCGTCGTTCCTACAAGACAAAAAGAAAGAAAGAAAAATCGTGTCGGTTCAACTGCATACACCTTATATCCGAGCCAATTGCCGTGCATATAATCATGGAGAGCTCCCGCTCCCGGCCAGTTTCCTTTCAGACACATACCTGGAGCGGAGCCCGGAGCATTTAGTTCTCGTTGTGAATGCCTGGTAACCCGACGACACTCCGAGTTCCTCCGGCACGAGGCGCCGCCAACTCAACAGTCGAAGTTTAATACTCGAAGCGAGGCAAAAGTATCTTATAGGTAGAGGCCAGTGCGCGATTTAACGTTTGCTCGCACAATGCCCGCTGATAGCGGTGCTGTGTTCCGGATAGCCGTGAACCGATTAGTTGTGATACGGGATCCATTAAAAGAAGGAGCCTGCCTACGGTTTTCTGTCTGTTCCTGAAGGTGCGTTTCGAAATCACTATTTATTTCTCTCATGAAAATAAGAGAGGGAGGGGAAGAATGACATTTAAACGAGTGAGAATTTAAAAAGCCAATTTATTGCTTGATCTGAGACTCCTTTAGTGAGCTGATTTCATGGTTTTTTTCATAAAACATTTTTAATTTGGGACATTGTGGAAAAATAGAGTTAAAAGTGAGAAAATGTACCGCTTTGTGTCGTCGTCTGCCGGCATTTCCCGCATTTAAACAGATACATGTTTTAGAAAATTAGGTTACTTTGTTCTAGCGCTACCAATAATAGTTTAATTTACAAACCAATTATATTCCCGTGCTCAGTTCACTTAAGAGTTGCATCTTAAACATGAAATTCACCAAATTTCAGACACCTGCAAATTCTCCATTGCGTTACCATGTACGAGGCTCACTTGATAATTTTCTTTGTGCCTGTATATTTTGCGAATATTTCACGATCAGAATTCCACAAAATTGTCTTCAAATCACTCAATAAATTATCATTAAAAAGCTTCCAGCCGTCCTGGAGGAGTCTGCAAATTTTCGAACACACCTTTTTGACGTTGCAACAAGGTTAGGTCTTTTTTTCTCTATTCATTTTAGTTTAATTCAGAAGAAGTATGGAGACCACACATTTTGGTTGTAAAAGAGTCTACCTATCCAGGAAAGCTGTAGCAAATTTAAATGAAATGGTTTTGCTAGCTTTGAGTTAAAGAGAAAGTTATTTCACATTTGATGTCCATCGAAAAAAAAATAAAAAAATGTTGTAAAATTGAAAATCGTACTGTTCTCGTCAGCATTGTAGCTCCACCTTAAAGTCATAGTGGCAAAGGCGATGGAGATGAAGTAAATTGTTCATCTTGAAATAGATTTAGCTTTCTCTGAATACTCGGAATAATGCATTCTATTGAGGCTAGGTTTAAGTTGTGAGAATTTTTTATCATGCACACTATTCTCGACCAAATTGTCTTTCTCTCGATAACTGAGACCTCAAGCATTAATTTAAAACCATTTTAAAGTTATTTTTCTTTGGAAATTTTAGCTCCGTCATGTACCCTAGAAGTCCTAGAACCCACACATTAACTCATCGATGCAAATATTACTACTCAGTGGATGTGCGTGTTGCATGTCTGATTATTTCAAGGCGCCATGGCCTTTTTTTGGCATCTCGCTGCATTAATGCAATGAAACCATGAGCACTTGCTTCTCACGAGAACAATTGAAAAATGCTCATGAATGGATAGATATATCCCTTGCGTTGGGATAGGTTGAAGGTCTACGTTCCTGGCATATTTTATACATAAATAAGCAGTTTCGCTCGCACTGTGTTGCAACGAAATCCGGTGACAAGATTTTCTTGTGAAGAGCTTACCTTTCCTATCTTAGCAATTTGATTAGATGAGGCAGGAATCAATCTTCGAGGTGATATATTTTAAATGAAGAAATAAGTAGAAAGTACACTGAAACACGCGTTGTTCATGTTATAATTCACTCTTGATGGAAGGACTCTCGTGAATGAATTCTTATATATCAACAATGCGTATTTCGGTGTGCTTTCTACTTATTTTTGCATCGATAGCAGCACGCAAGATGCGTTTTTCTATCGGAAAATTTTACTATTTCTTGTTGAAAGGTTTGATTTTACTTTATTCTTAAAAAATTATATCGTATGAAACAGTGGCGTGGCGTGCTGTGCGATACATCCATTGATCTGCCATTTAAACCTATGGAAAACGATCCATAAATACGGTGTTCGCAACGAACACCTTAATAATCGATTCTTTGCCATAGCTTCAAATGGGGAATATCGATAATCGATCATTCACGCCTCGCCCCTGGTATGAACGCCCGACAGGATATTATCAAATAACCAAAGAAAGGTAACAGAAAATTCTACGAATTATAATAACAGTCAGATCTTTATTGAACTTTCACGGGTGCGCAATTTTGAATTTCAAACATTTCTGGGAAAGACCCCTCAAGCTTAAGAACGCCTATTTTTCCTGGACAGGGCGCGGCGCTATTTCTAGTTACCCCTCTGTGCCTCAGCGGGCACAATAGTTCTTGGTGGTACATCTTTTTTTAGGGTCCGATCGTCGTTCCTCCCGAGTAATATTCGTCTCCTGTTCTTCGTTCGGCGTTCGAAGCTCTCGCTGCAAATTGATTTTGGAAACTCGATTAAAGAAAGAAAGGAAATAAACCGTCTGTTGGGTTTGTAGATGTTTACCTATCGGTGAAGACCAAATTGACGTATTTCTATCAAACAGATTTATGTGGAGGTGAGAAATATGGCGTGTGCTCGTCAATTCTCTGGCCGTGAGAGTGAATGAGAATACTAAAGCTCCAATTACGTCAACGGCAATGATTGAGCCCGGGCGCGAGGGGGAGATGGTCGTCGGGGCGCTTTAACTCATGAGCCCTGTCCACAACGCTCTCGTGCCATGCCGGCGGCTCATGAATCCCGCATTCAGTTGGCACATAGTTCTCTTTGTTCAATTTAAAATCCTGCTTTTCAAATTCTTCAAAAGAAATCACGCCCACTGACCACATTGTTCCTTATCCAGCTTTCTAGAGCACACCCCATATTTCTCACCTGCACATACATTTGTTTGATAAAAATACGTCCAAATATCCTGCTTGAAAGGACCTTGCAAAAAATACAACCCTTACATGTCATGCTAACTTCCCTAGTGGAAGTCGACCTTGTGCGGCAGTAGACATCCCGTCACCTCGTGTAAGCCCGTTCAATGGGAAGCGAAACCTAGGCATATATCTTCGGGAGTCGCAGGTGGTGACTCGAGGTGACTAGAGACTGGAAATGCGACGGAATGTCCACCTCCTGCCGAAGGAGGCCGAATTCATCTAGGTTTGCGATTCGTGTACCTTTTTTTCCGGAGAAATTTGCCAGAGGCACGGTGCTTCTGTCTGTCTCTGAAACGAACTCCTTAGCTCAAAAAATGCTTTCAAAGTTGAGGCCGCAATGGAGGGATCTAATGAACCTTTTACCATCAGTCAAAATGACATCAATTCACGCGCACTTACTACCATTTCGCAGCTCTCGGTTTTTTGCTTATTGGGCAAATTTTGCTATATTCTCAGTAAATTATCCGATTTAAATAGTGAATTTTTGAAAAAACCTACACATCAAAAATTTGGCCTTCATTGCGCTGTTTGGGGACATGGGAGTGCTGAGTAGCTGAGTGGATGATCCCGAAAATCTATGAACTAATCAACTGGGAACCCCATTTATGTGCGTTGAGAGTGAACAATCGGCCAGTATATTTCTATATCGATGTATAAACCCGAGGAAGTTAAATCATACAGTACCACCCTCCAAAATAGGTTGAAAGAACAGTCGTCCTTTATGCCCGGACTCTCTAGAGTGTAAACTAAAGTTTTTTCGTCCCTTTTATCCTTTCTCGTTCCGGATCTCCTTATTTGTACTTAGATGTCCAGACGAAGAACATTTCAAGCTTTACGAAAGTCATCCTCAGGTCATCATTTTCCATCTTCATTTTAAAGTTTTTCCGTTTCGTTTGTTTTACAAATTTTGCGTTTCACACTGTGACGAGCGGTCAAGTAATCCGTCCAAAATGTTTTAAGGACCTGAAGATGAGCTTCGCAAAGTTTGAAATCCGCAACGTCTAGACATCTAAGTACAGATAAAGAGATCAGGAACAAGAAAGGAAAACAGGCACATACACCATTGCCCGATAAATTATAAGCATGTTTAACTGAAAGCTCTTTAATAGACTTCATTCAAATACCTTCTCAAGGCCTAGACCGGTCGCAGATAGAGAATTCGCCTCCAACAATGTAGGCATTGCATGAGTTACAACCTGTGATAGTAAAAAGAAACTGTTAGAATTATATGTGTGGGTAATAGATTGCAAGTTCTATTTCCAAGTAGAAAAATTTTCTACGCATTTGTTCTTTGTCTCCATATTTCAATATCTTGGCGGCGTAATACCAGTGTTAAGTAAAGATCATGAACCGTTATGAAGTATTGCTCCTCACATCAAAGAGGAAGGCTAGCGAATACTTTTCACTTTTTTTTTTATGATGGCTTAAATATGTGCTGCTTAAATATGGAACAATCAGAATTATTTCTAAACAACTTGCACTTCCAAAGGCACCTTCATGGCGGAAACTACATCCATAAGACTTCCTCGTCGATCTCTTTTCACCGTTCGATTTACCTTTCTCCGTGTTAAGTGATAAAAAGATTCCATCGACTAAGCGTGCCTAGACGCATTTATCTCAGGTGATTTAAATCTCTATATGTTTAATAACAGTTATCTTGAATTATTTTAACAAAAAAATTATTTTACAAATACTCACTTACGCAAAAAAGTGCTAGGAATACAAATAATTTTGGGAACATCTTCGTTCAACAAATGCAGATTTCCAAACTATTCGATCCGGATCATATGTTCAATTTCGCTGATGGCAGAATCGCACTGCGGCTCACTGTTTCAACTTCAGTTTACATTCCGTACCCCAAAAAAATTACCATTTGTATTCGTTCTCATACCTATTGCAAATCCACGATTACACACGTGTGCCACGACACATGTGTGCCATCTGAAATCACACGCTCTTTTTAACCATTCGGCTGGGTAACTGCGATTTTTAATCTATCACAAACATATCGAAGGTGAAAATTTCAGACGAAGAATCTCGGTTTGCGACGTTGTAGACTTCCAGTCATACTTTTTTTTTTAAATGGAAAACTGCTCAACGTCAATTCTTGAAAAATTACGTGTTTTTTATTCTTTGATGTGCGAAATAAACTCTGTGAAACTTCCGAGGAATGAAATTGATTTGTTCTCTGTCAAAAAATTAAAATGGATGCGAAGATTTACAAACAGCGCAAACGAGATACGTGATCTGGAAGTTTCGACGTCACAATATATTTTCTCTGGAGTCTCATCCCCGTTTTGATATCACTAATATTGACACAAGTGCGCGTCTGTGGAATTAAGGGAATCATCACGTGCGTGACTTATGTATTAAATTACTTGTTGATGCCCAGGCGAGAGTTGACTAATCATTGCAGACGTAGTAGGATCGAGTTTGGTCGTTGAAGTTTGCCTTGAATTTGGCTGGATAGGCAAGACACACGCCAGGAAGCGCGGGTAGTTGTCTATACGAAAAATACAAAATCTCAATCCGAATGTTGATGAATGTTGAAAATTAGGTAATTCATGTAAATTTTACGGGAAAATGCAGAAACCTTTGCACATCGCCATCTCCCCGGGCTGATGGCGATGTGCCCAGGCAGATCCGGAAGTTTTTACCAAATTTTGAGCCGATCCCGAAATGAACGATTGCAACATGTGCTTCTTTGGAACGCTAGCCACTTGCATGCATACATGACCATACCCTAACTCGCAGGCAAATATACAAATCAGGACTTTAATCAAACGCCCGGGCATAAAGGCAAATCTTGAAAATTTAAAAACAATTTTGGTTTTTGCGGAGTAATCTTGAGTTTTGAGCGTTTCTAATGTAAAAATTCATCAACGTCACGAACTGCTCTTGAATTTCCTTCTTCGAATTCCTCTCATGTGTTTTAACCATCAAAATTTGAAAAATTCTGTATTTTAAGACCTGCACGAAGTAAATTGAGATAAATGTTAGTTCTAGGGCTGAAGACTATTATGGGTACCTCCTCATCATGCATAGTTGTATAGTGAATTTTTTCTTACTTTAATAATTCATTTTTTTGTCTGAAGAATTGGCAAGCAATCCAGAACTTGAATCCAAGTAAGATTATTTGACTATTTGTTGATATCAAAAACACAGGAGAAAAAGTACACAAAAAATGTACACATACAAGGCTAAAAAGTACACATGAAAGTCCGAGAAGTTTCGGCTCAAAACTGAGCCATTTTCAGTCGGAAGAATAAAAATACAATATAAGCATTCCAAATATATTTTATATTATTATTTTTATTTTTTATATTTTATTTTTATTGTTCCGACTGAAAATGGCTCAGTTTTCAGCCGGAATGTCTAGAATTTGTATATACTTTTTAGCCTTGTTTCCCGTATTTCTATTATGTTTTTGATATCACCATTGTCACGGGGTGCTGCTTTAGAAATTTTTAATATTTGACTACTTGCCGGGGCATTTGAGAAAATGCCTGATTTTAATGTTTACTTGCGACTTATTCATTTCCGAAAATAAAAGTTGGACATAAATATTCTGGATTTCAGAGACCGGCTCTCGACATGCCACCCGACCTGGACGGCACCTTACGAGGAAGGCTAACAAGAGTGATGATCCTCCTTCTGGCGCTGAACCTTCTGCTGGGAACCCACGGGCAACTGATGGAGTTTATGTTCGACCCAGGGACGACGACGGAACCCGGGCCCGTCAACTGCTGTCCCTTCGTTTCGCACAAGGTCGAGCCGGTGGCCCTCCACTCCTGGCACCGTCGCCTCTACACCTTCTGCAACAACAAACGGGTCTCCGGTCTCCCCGGTGACTGCTGCACGCGCGGTTACTGCGACGAGTACTGCTGCAGCTGTACAAGACCTTGCCTCGCCTGATTCCCAGTTTTTCAGACTCAATTTTCTTCATCCAACGTGAAGTGGAATTAGCAGGGTGATTTTCGAAATTGCAGGGCATAGTTATAGATAAAGGAGATAAAGGAAAAACTGAGCGATCCTATCGGTAAAAGCGGGAAGTTCCAATGAAAAAAGAGGTCAAGAAGAGACTAATTAATGGCAATCACGATACCATACGGATACTCAATCATTTTCCCCCTTAGACTATGATAAACATCTAGTTCAACCGATAGGATCACTCCAATTTCCCTTAATTTTCTTTGCCTATCAAGTTCAAGAATTCGTTCGCAGGTACTGAAATTAATGAACGAAACGATAGACATAAAGGGCAGAGGGAAAATGGAGCCATCCCATCGGTTTAAACGACTGAGGGGGTAAATAATGGACTACTCATAAGGTATCGTGGGTTTTCATTAGTTGGTCAAATCCTTAATGAAAGGGTGTTAATTATAGCGCACCTCAAGGTTTAGAGACAATACATTCATATAACGTTTATGATATGGTTTTTACTCTATAATTAAAGACTACACTCATTTTGAAAGGAAAGAACTCCTGTGGAGCTAAATTTCCATTCTGCAGTCACGCTGTTTGAGCAACACTAGTTGAGATCTGGTATGTTCGTGCGCTGCACTGATAATGAGTCTAATTGGTCTGTTTTACATACTTTCTTTTTATATCGCAACCACCTGCTCCCGATAGTCTCACTCCATTTCCTTTTTTCCTCTGTCAATTGCTTTGTCTATCAATTCCAATAATCAGCCTACTGAAATTCAGTCAGATGTATGTTGCATGTTGCATAGGCTCAGTCAGTGTGATTCTAGGCTCATACGATTCCACGAGTGAAAAATTGACTCTTTCACTGGTGGACGAGTACACGCCGTAAGTTGCAGCGTCAATAAGAAAAGGCCTGTCTGCACAGAGGCTTTTCATCGAGTAAATGGTCGGTAAAGTCGATTTAAAGATTCGTTGACTACGAGACGATGATGCAGGTGAATTTATGCATTATAAAATTCATAATGGACCACCAGACGAGGAACAAAATTAGGCATTCGTAACTGGCGTAAACTGATTACTAGCGTAAACTGAGTAATCAGTTTACGCGTACGCGGTCTCGAGTGACTATAGTCCAAATAGCTATTAATACTTTCGAAATTTTACGTGCCTACTGACGACCGCAAAAAATGTGGAAAGTTTATGAAAGTTTAAAATGTTAATAGTTACTACCACTCTGAAGATGCCTGAACAAGCGAAATTGACGAAATGCATCAGTAACTAATACAAAACGAAGGAGGCACATTTGGCATACCATCACATTATTGAATTGAATTACAGGTGCAATATGCATATCAAACTTGATTAGTCCTAAAATGTCCTCCTAAAAATTTGTTGTTTCGAGATTGTTTTCAATTCGCCTTCAGCTGCGTCCGCAGCAATTGTTGTTACGAATGTGTTGTGCTCAGGTAATTACATACTTGACTCTTCGAAGGCGTTTAATGTGCAAAAGTTGACCACCCTGTTGGTGTGAGATTGATTGTGAATCGATTAATCCTTAATGCTATCGTTCTCCGACGGATAGCGCTACTTGTGCACAGAAAACACCTTCAGAGAGTCGAGTATGTAATGAACTATAATCAGCACGCACAACATATTCGTAACAACAATTGCTGCAGACGCAGAAGAGGGCGAATTGTACACTTAAAAAAAAAAGAGTATAATAGGAAGTCTGCGTGTAACGAAAGGGTATGTATTCGATCGAAATGAATCAAACTAAGAATAAAAACGTGAGCCAATCAACACAGATTTCAAGGACAAATAAATAAAAAAAGCTGATCATAATCAGTAGGAAACTTGCATTCACCATGAAAATTTCAAATTGCGGTTTCTCAAAATTAGGATCAGCGAAGATTTTGATTTTCCGCGATTTTAAGTCCACACGTACCATAGACTCACCCCCCTGCAAACCGTTTTTGGGTACATTTTTGTCGCATTTCTTTTTTTGCTTCAAGACCACTGTGGTGGAGCACTGTGTGCCTTCAACCATCAATACGGTCGTATAGTCGCTTCTCTGAAGTAAGGGCGTATTCTTATTTTCTACATGAGCCCAGGGAGGCCTAGGACTATACAGGGCACAGAGATCACGTGGAACCTGAGGTACGCCTTTTCATATGAGGAAAGACTCTATGGTTGAAAGCTACTTTAACATTCTTCCAAAGCTGTATCGTTTGTCATCGACTGACCAATAAGACAATGAATATGAGCTTTTGAAAACAAGTTTTTAATTGTTTCATTACTTTCTAAAACACAGATCAAAAGCATTTTCAACAGTTTATCAAACTTAAACTACTTTGTCCTCTTCCAGGAAGAAGAGCAAATTAAAAACATTACTCATCTTTTGTAAATTAAACTTATGCTTTGTTTTACTCAGTTGCCCTCCTTCCTAAAGACTCAATTCTTGTATGAAATATTATTGTTTTACATTTATGATCTCGATTATTTGACTCGAAATTTTTATGGATTCGCATATTGCCTTTACTAAAATCTGATCCTAGGGTGAATCCAGAACATCATCAAATACTTAAAAAGCGACATAATCACAACTAATTGCGAATAAAAAGATATCATGTATTGTCTAGTTACCCGGGTTCGCTTTATTTGGGTCATGATGACTGAGCTTAGTCATAAATGCCTCATACGGGAGATTTAATAACGGGACAATCACCATTAATCGTCTTAGAGATGGGCTTCACATCCGCCCATTACATTGACTGTATTCTATTTATAAGATTTCAACAATGAAAGAAAAATTAAGAGTAACACGCTTGAGGACTGATAGCAATTGTAATAGGGAGTTGTGCAAAGCAAACGAAAAAATGTTTGATATTTTAAATTTCGTAAAAGAAAGTGAACTTATCTTTCTCTTCATTTCTTTTCATTTTTTTATCAAAGCTTAAAACGGAGCATATATTTTATTGAAGAAAAATTTAAATATATTTTACATGCATCATGCAACATTTTAACAACAGAGCAATAACTAGAACAAAAAATTAGATTGTAACACATTTGTTTTCCTTTATACATAAGCTCCTTAAAACACATAAAATCATTTCAACGAAGAGGTAGAATTTTACTCAAATCACTATCACATCTTATTACAACAAAGATAGACATTATGTGAGATTTGGAAGGATTGAAAATCAAAATTTAATGAATACAGACCGCCCAATAACGAAGTTTCCTTTTCCAAATTTAAATCCCCGTCGCTCTTTGGAAAACAAAAACATGTTTAATCGGCCTGTTCATGCCGATTCCTTAAAATGGGTGAAAATGGTTCAAAATTGTCCTAAAGTCTCTATGAAATGGTATAATTTTTAACACAGGACGATTGCATACCATGCGCGTCTCTCACACACCAATTCACACACCGATAAACCGTTTGACAAGGTGACGGTAAGCGGTGAAACACTGTAAGGTAGGTTTTCTCATCAACATTGAACGTAGAACAGTAGGTTGATTAACAATTTTGACTGTTTTTATTTAAATCTTCCGCAAAAACAAAGAGGGTTATTCATATAGGCGAAAAATGTACCCAGCCCGGAATGTACGAAACTTTGTAGGCTGATAGTACTAGTTGAAAGAGGCTTATCCCTAGCTCCCTTTTTGCATGAACCCCAGGGAAACAGCGTTGCCATTTTTTAAAGTCGTAACCTTCAAACATCCATAACTTTCGCNTACGACTTTAAAAAATGGCAACGCTGTTTCCCTGGGGTTCATGCAAAAACGGAGCTAGGGATAAGCCTCTTTCAACTAGTACTATCAGCCTACAAAGTTTCGTACATTCCGGGCTGGGTACATTTTTCGCCTATATGAATAACCCTCTTTATGTTGGGATGCATGCTCAAGAAAACTTCTTGAAGTGTCCGTGAAGCAATTCTGCCACATCCGTCGCTTTCAGGTAAGTAAACGTAGGGGCTGCTGTCCACATTTCAGGAGGGCACCGCTATGATACATTTGGACATTTAAAGTTTTTTCCAGAAATTTGGCAACGTTGCAATGAAAATCAGTAAAAGTTTACTTCATTGGTACTATAGGCAACACTGAAATTATGTTGAGAAGTTAGAGAAACAAGCAAAGCGCCCTCAGTTAGTATCGCATGCGGAGAAAACTAAACGAATTTCATTATAACCCCTGAATACAACTATTCGGGCTCCAAGGATGTCCGTGTTGCATAGGCACGGACTTGAAGGCGTTTTGAGTCTCTCAGCAGTTATCGCTTTATTCGCGCCGTGGCGCGGAGGCGGGCAGTAAGCATTATGATCACGATGATCCCGAAAGACAATAGGCCTTCAATTCCTCATTTATACTACAATGACATCTCTTAGGCACGAATAGTTGCGTTTATGAGTAGGAAGTTGGGGTGAGGGAGGGGGTGACTTTTGTGCTTTTTATGCGATGTACTGAGTATAATTGAATCGGATCGTGCGAAAACTGCTAATGTCCATTTTCTCAACTCTTTTTTTTAATTGTAATAATACTTTTCAAGAGTTGATCCAATCATGAAAGCGGTGTAGGTACTCATTTTGAGATTAATATACCCCTAAAACGAGTATTAACACAATTTTCTTGGTTACATCTTCTGAAAAGTATTATCAACCAAAAATTTTTCTTCTTTAGTAAGGTTGATTAAATATACTTTTTATATTTATTTATTGAGGTATATTAGGTGCTGATTAATTAGAACGTCACTTAAATATTATTAAAAATATTCTTAAATATATACGCCTTCACTTCCGTGCGTATGCAACAAGGACATTCGTGGAACACGAATAGTTGCATCCAGGCGTTCAAGTGAAATTCGTTAAGTGGTCATTGCAAGAGAATGAAGACACTTTCAGTGAATTACTTTTTACTTAAATAAATCATTTTTTGTCCATAGATTTGTCAAACAATGCAGAACTTGAATCCAAGTAAGATTATTTGACTACTTGCCGAGGCATTTTACAAATTGCCTGATTTTACTGTTTGCTTGCGATTTATTCATTTCCAAAAATAAAATTTGGACATAAATATTCTCGATTTCAGAGACTGGCTCCTGACATGCTAAACGCCCTGGGCGGCACTTTGTGACAAAGGCTGACACCAATGATCATCCTCCTTCTGGCACTGAACCTCCTGCTGGGGACCCGCGGGCAATTAGAAGAGTTTAAGTTCGACCGTGAGAAATTCGTTTAGTGCTCGTTGCAAGAGGACTAGGGCGCTTTGCGACTTTTTTTCAACTTAACTCGATTCTAAAGTTGGCTGTTGTACTATGAAGTATACCACTTTTTTTTAGGACATTGCCAATTTTCTGAAAACTACTTTGCTTGTTTAAATGTATTACAGCAAAACCCTCCCGACATTTGGGACGCAGTTCATACACTTACTTACCTAAGAATGACGTTTTATACTTACTTCCGGAAAACATTTTCGAGTGCGTATTTGAACATATTTGTTTTTGCGAAAGAGATAAAAGACAAGTCCGGACAGAAATTGACCCGGTGCGTGGCAGTGTATGTGAGTCTATTTGAGATAGTTTGACAACATTTGCTGAATGTTTTTTATCCTTAAGACCCATCGGTTCCGATCAATTTTGTTTTGTTTTTTGCATTGTTCCCCTCAGAGTCGAAAACTTCACCTTGTCCGTTGCTCTATCTTTGCGCTGCAGTCTTCTCTTCGTGATCCCACTTGTAAAGACGTAATTTGTTCGTTGCCATCAGCAACATCAATGCCATCAGGATGTGCTATTTGGAATTTTGTTTATTTGATGCCATCAGTATGAGGTGGAGCATCAGTAAAGTAACCTGTAAAACGTTGGACTGCATTTTGCAAAAAATGGGAAGAACAACTTCTGGCTCAGTTTAGAAACAACGTATGTACCATTAGTTTCCCTAAGTGCATACATATTTTTAAATATGAACCAGAGATTGTAGTTCCTAGATGCAAAATTAAGTCCAGTTGTAGGATCGTGATAGACAAGCGAAAGTAGGTCCTCTATAAAATCTCAAAGCTCGTTTTCTGAGATATGTGGACTTCATTCTGCAATTAGGTATACTACAATTTCTGACTTAATCTTAAAAACACTTATGTACGTAGGGAAACTAATATGAGATACGTTGCACATAAACTGAGTCAAAAATTTTAGTTTCAAATTGCACATCGTGGTCCGTTTGCACATTCATGAAGGTTATCCCGAGGTTTTTTGCTCTTTCTACCTTGACGTGTTAAGTACTTTGGTTCAAATTACGACTCTATGTATTCTATGGAGAAAACTAACGTCAATACAGTGTTGCTACAATCAGGCAACCTTTTTTATACTTAAAAAAATACTAAATATGAGCACAGTTGTACAATGATCACGATTTTTTCCTTTCAAAGCTGACAGTTTTTCGGTGGAAAAACCAAAATTGTTTGCAATTCTGTGCATCTTAATTTTTTAGATAAAAATTGAATTTGCACAGTTTAAGATCAGATTTTCTAGATTCGTAGATCTCTTGAACGAGCGATGAAACAAACTGAACATTTAAAGGGTCAGAGAGCTCATACATTTATCAGGATTCTATAATTTCTTCACTATTCGATTCCTTGACTTTTCACTGACTATTTTTGCTTCTCCCTATCTCTAAAATTTTCAGCTTACCTGACTTTTTCTGACAGGGAAGCGGAACTTCCATCTTTCCATTGAATTATATTCACTCCGGTAAACGCTCTTTGCGAAATTTCCTGACTTTCTCTAAATTTTCCATGTCCTAAACCATTTTCTGACTTACCCAGATTTTCCGGACCGCCGGAAACCCTGATTTACGACATCACATCCTGATTGTGATGACACCAATGGCAACGCACAAAATACATGTAAATTCTCCTAAAAAAAAATTGGACTAAATTGTGCAATTGGAAATACAATTTCTAGCTCTTCCGTAAAAACACGTATGCCTGTAGGGAAGCAAACGGTACATCCGTTGTTTTTAAACCGAGGCAGAAATTGCAGTTTCTCATTGCGAAACGGAATCCAATGCAGAGTCTGGCGGCGGACACTATATTATATGACAGGAATTACTATGCCCTTTGTGCTTGCCGAGGGCTTGATGGGGTATGAAACTAGTGCAGAAATGATGGTGGTGGAGTTTGGCCGAGCCCAAGCTGGACTCGTTGCTCCGCGACAGGGAGCTCTCGGATTTGGAGGTGACCACTTTATCGGGGGCCCGACGCCTTTTCTCTGGCTCCGGGGGCTCGGAGGACAGCGGCAGGGTCATTCCGGAAGTTGTCGCCGACCGAGTTCTCCCGGGAAACTGCCGAGTGGGCTCCGTCCCGCACCAGGAGAAGTGGGTATTCGATCCTTCACCTTGGTCCTCACGCTCCGGGAGGCTCGAGGATTTCGGGCATGATTCAGAGGGCTCTGAGGAGGCTCCTGAGGGCTCCGCAGCTCCCTAAAACAATTATCATCATAATCACTATAACTGGAAAAACGCATCTCGCGTGCTGTTATGATAAACATGAAAAAGATGAAAAAGTACGAGTAGATGAAAAGTAGACTTCATTTTGTTTACTATATTTGGACCGCGTTGAACAGAAAGGAACCAAGCCACATTAGCTATTGCCAAATTTAATTGGGCAGTTTAATTTTTCACTTGAAAACGGTTGCGCGGATTTTCGTGCAAATTTCAGTGGATTTTCTCCATACTACGAAGCAAATTCATTCAAATTTTCAAAGGAATCCGCACAAACGTTCTCTCGTAAAAAAATTAAATTGCCCAGTTAAATTTGGCAATAGCTGATGTGGCTTGGTTCCTTTCTGTTAAACGCGGTCCATTTTTCTGCTAACTCTATCAGCTATTTCCATTGGTTTTTAAACATTTTTAACATTTTTTCATTTTTGACCAGTTCCCAAGTTTTTAGTTCGCTTTGCCTCTCGATATTTTTCTTCATCATGCATTGTGACAATTCTTTACTGTGATTAACTTGTTTCTGTGTTTCGTTTTAAGTGCTTGCTGAAGATGGGCTAAGCCCGAAATGCATCCAAGCCATTAAACCTTTATTCAACAATATGCGTGTTTCGGTATACTTTTTCATCTTTTTCATGATAATCACTATGATTCCGATTTTGAACTCTTCGTGCTTTCATTTGGTCGTGTTCATGCTAAAAAGAAGGAGAGACCGATGGGAATCGCACCCACTTTTACATTGTTTCCTATGAGGCTTGCACGAGCACACCTCATCTTTCCCACTCGCCTCTAGTTCCTTTTAGCATAAATACGTCCACAGGTGAGCGCCTACTGATAAAAGGATAGCCCGAAGAGGCAATATTTTCAGTGGGTACGCACTCTTAATCATTTTGAGTGTTTGGTGCCGGCGCACAGTGGATCGAGTCAACTAGAGAGAAATAACTTACACTATTGCGGAGTGGAATCCACTCTTTTTACGGAGTGTCAAACGCTTTTATGGCGCTAATTTCACTTTACATTTACTTCACTCAGGATTTTATAGACTATATAGACTATAAAACAATATTTACTCTGGCACCTTAGGGGCCAGCAAAATCGTCGTAATCGCCCATGGGCCGTTAATGAACAAGTAATTTTCTCAACGAGTTAAATAACAACAAACAAACAAGTTAACAAGTTAAAACAAGTAATTTCAGTCTCAAAACTGAATAAGATCCATGACGGGAAAGTAGAGACGTATCATGTCTGCCCGAATAACATTCATCAAAAAGTTATCGAGCCAAAGTAAGTTGTTTTTTTTCTCCAGACGGTCCAACTTTTCGTCGCGTATTTTCAAATTGTGCTGTTTCATGGAAGTAGTTTTAGCTGAGATAAATTCAGACGCGTAGAATGTGGCCCATCGTCCGATCCGTGGATCGCGGATAGGTAGACACTATGCCTCGAAACAAGGTGTACACTCTGGCAGGCGCAGTGTAGGCAATTTGCACATCAGATATCAAGGGTCAAACGGTGTAGCGTTGGAAGTATTTCTGCAAGTCGAAGGCGCTACATCGGGTACGCGTTCGTAGAGGCG